CTAATACTGCTTTTTTAATTGTCGTGCTTGTTTTGTTGTTGATGCCGTTCTGACTGGAGTAAAAAGAATGTCAGTGTAGTTTCAATTGGTATTTTCCTGATGGCTAAAGACATTGAATGTTTCTTCTCATAGTGATTGGGCATAGTCAACTGCTTTGAGAAGTGTCTACCCAGTTCTTGTGTTCATTTTTAGTGGTTGGCTTGTTTCTTCTTTTGGTGTTACCTTTATGCATTCTTTATATATTCCAGTTATTAATCTTCTGATGGATGAGTTGCTGGCAAGGATTATTGCCCACCCTGCATATTGTTTCTATTTTAATTGAAAATAAATTTTAAATTATTATTATCTTTTGCAGGAGTTGGTTCTTTTCTTCCATCCTGTGGGGCCTGCGTGTTGTCAGGCTTGGTGGCAAGCACCTTTACTTGCTGAGACATCCCACCAGCCTCAAGGTTTTTCTTCACTTTAGAGATGGATTTCTTTGCTATGCAGAAGGTTTGATGCAGGTTCATTTGTCAGTTCCTAACATTTCCTTATTAGTGTCCTATTTAGACGTATGCCTTTTTCTATGCCAATATCATGAGTATTTATCCACACTTTTTTTTTTTAATTTCAGAAATGGCATGTGTTACATTGAGGCCTTTGAGCCACTTAGAGTTGACTTTGTATACACGAGGCAAGCATCTGGTTTTGCTCTTCAGCATCTGGAGAACCTGTTGTCCTATGTGTGGCCTTGCTTATGGGTCTTTTATTTTAGTATGTTTCCTTTGTCTACATGTCTACTTTGTACAGTGTTTTATAATTTTCTTTGTATTGATATATCATCTAGTGTTAGGGTTAGGGTTAGGGTTAGGGTTAGGGGTAGGGTTAGGGTTAAGGTTGGAGGGGTGGGGTGGGGGGGTTAGGGGTGTGACCATCTGTGTGATAATCATCTTAATTCTTTCCCAGAAAATTCATATGCAGGGAAAAAGCTATTCATTTTGTATCCTATTTTTGTATCCTATTTGCTGAATTATTATTTCTATTTTGTTTATCTACTTATCTAGTGTATGTGTGCATGTGCACATGTAGGCTCCATCGTACCACAGTGATATGTGGAGTTCAGAGGACAACTTGTAGTTGTCTGTTCTCCCCTTCCACCATGTGTGGCCCAGGAATTCAACGCAGGTCATCAGGCTTGGCAGCAGGCACCTTTAATTGCTAAACCATTTTGTTGGCTCTTTTTCTAAGACGCCAAGGAAACAGTACATCATTCATTTGATATCTCTTTGTCTTATAAATTCAGACACTCATATCTATAAACCTTCCTCTTAGGACTGTTTTCACTATCTCTCATAGGTCCATGGTATATTACATTACCATTTTCCTTTGATCCTGGAAAGTGTTTTTTCTTTTTTTCCTTTCTTTTCCTTTTTTTAATTTAGAAACATTCATTTTACATATCAATCCCCCAGTTCCCTCTCCTTCCCATCCTCCCATGCTCCCTAACATTCTCCCCAACCCACCCCTCCACCCTCTCACCAAGGACAGTGAGACCTTCCATGGGGGGATCATCAAAGTCTGTCACAGCATTTGGGGGAGGGCCTAGACCCTCCTCTGTGTATCTGGGCTGAAATAGAATCCCTCCGTGGGGAATGGACTCCCACAGTGCTTAGCTGTGTATCTCTGCCTCTGTTTCCATCAGCTACTGGATAAAAGCTCTAGGATGCCATTTAGGGTAGCCATCATTCTCATTATAGGGGAAGGGCATTTAAGGTAGCCTCTCCACTATTACTTAGGTTCCTAGTTGGGCTCATCCTTGTGGATCTCTTCACAATTCCCTAGTGTCAGATTACTCTAAACCTATAGTGGCTCCCTCTATTGGTGTGTCTCCTTTCTTGTTCTCCTCTATTCCTCTCCCCACTCAATCTTCCTTCTCCCTCATGTCCTCCTCCCCTTCCTCTTCTCCCCTCCTCAGCCCTCTGTCTGATGTGGGGTTGGTGAAGATCTTTTCCCATTCTGTGGGCTGCTGGTTTATCTTGTTGAGTGTGTCCTTTGCCTTACAGAAGCTTCTCAGTTTCAGGAGGTCTCATTTATTAATTGTCGACCTCAGTGTCTGTGCTACTGGTGTTATGTTCAGAAAGCGGTCTCCTGTACCAATTCGTTCAAGGGTACCTCCCACTTTCTCTTCTAAGAGCTTCAGTGTGGCTGGATTTATGTTGAGGTCTCTGATCCATTTGGACTTAAGTTTGAGCATGGTAACAGATATGGATCTATCTGCAATTTTTTACATGTCCGCATCCATATCCTTGAAACTTTTAATTCTCTCATTTTTTCTTCAGTGACACTGCTCAAGGGTGTGATTGTAATTCCCCATGTGCTAAAAAAAAATCTGTAATTTTCTCTTGCTGTGTATTTTTAGTTTAATTCAGTTACAATTCAATAAAATGCAAGAAATTATGCCATTTTTTGGTATTTGTTCAGATCTGATTCATGATTGAAGACATGATCTGTTTTGGGGGAAAGTTCCATGAGCTGAAAAAAAAAATGTGTATTCCGGGACTATTGAATGGGCTATTTTGTGGATGTCTAAGTCCTTTTAATATAGCGTTTAACTCCAGGGTTCCCTGCTAATTTTTTTTGTTTGTTTGTTTGGATGCCCATCCATTTATGAAGGAGGGGCGTTAAAATCACTTGCTAGTATTGTGCTGAGCCCATTTCTTGATTTATACCCAGTGTTATATTTTTATAAAATTGTGTAGTCTGACATCATTTGTATATATGTTTTAGATGTGCATGTGCACACACACGCGCACACACACACACACACACACACACACACACACACACACACACACAGTCATACTTTCTTGGTCTATTGTTCTTTCTAGCAATATGTGATGACTGTCAATTGTCTCTCTGACTGAGTTTGCCTTGAAGCCTGCTGTATCAGCTATGAATATGGTTCCTCCTGCTTGATTTTGTCTTCTGTTCACCTGGATACAATTTTCTATTCTTTCCATATTCAGTCTGAAAATAATAGCTTAACCAGTCAAGTGAGTTTCTTACAAGCAGCAAGTTGAGATTTATTTATTTATTTTAAAAATCAAATCAACCATTTTACATCTTTCAATTAGAGAATTAAGACCATTTATATTCAAGGTTATTTTTTAAAAGGCATGTACTAGTTTCTGCTGTTTTTAAGTCTTTTTTATTTTTCTAGTTGTGTTCATTTCTTTTTTCCTTCATTCATCTTGGAGGTCTGGTGTTTTACTCTGTTACTTATGGCTTCTTCTCATTTGCTTGAGTATTCTTCTAGTGATATTCTTTATCATGCTCTCATGGTGGCATTTGTCTTATTTTTCTTTGGGGTCTAGGTTTCTCCAAGTAGTTTATGTGATACTAGTCTAGTGCTTATACATGTCTTATTTTGTGATTATTTTGGGCAAGTCTTTCCTTCTTGTTCAATTTTGAAGGCTACCTTTGCAGGATATAGTATTTTAGTTAGGCCGTCATCTCCTAGCAGGACCTGAAGCATATCATTCTATGTCCTGTGTCCTCTTGAGTTGTATAACTCCTTGTGAGAAACTGGGTTCTGTTTATCATCAGTTTGTCTTTATGTGTGACTTGGATTTTCTTCCTTGCAGCTTTAAATGTTCTCCTTTATCCTGAGTTTTTGGTATTTTAACTCTAATGCATTCAGTTTTTTGGCATTTTTAAGGCATGTCTCATTGGACTCGAAAAGCCTCCTGTATCTGGATGTCTATTGGAAAATATCTTGTTAGCTTTTAAGGTTTTGAACAACTATAAAAAGTTGTTAATTTTAGTTCATGTGCAGGTTTTGTATGGGTATAAAGCTTTCTATTTAGGTATATTTCAAGGATTAACATGGTAAAGGTAAATTTTGCTAATCATTTTTACTCAGTGACAAAATTGTACTGGTGTCCTATAAGGAGTTATGCTCCTGTTTCTTCACACCATTTCTAATATCCAATAGGGGTGGTATTACAGGTTTGGGCCATTTGGTCTGTAATGGGATTTTACTTTAATATTCACAATTATAATAAAATATGATGTTGAGTGAGTTTTCTTTTCCTTTTCTTTTTAGCACATTTGCCTACTGCCCATCTCTGGCAAAATTCTTGTTCATTCTTTTGATCTAATTTTGTGTTGCTCTCTTATCAAGTTTTAGGCATTGTTTGTATATCTTGAATACCGGAACTTTATTAAATATTTTATAAAGGCTTTTCTCTGACTATCCTTTCTCTCTACATCATCTTAAGAGTGTCCTTCACATAAGAAAAGCTGTTAATTTTAATGAAGTCTATGTTGTCAGTTCTATTTTTATAAGTTATGCTTTTGAAATTTCATGTTTTAAAAAGTTAATGCTAAATCTTAGGTAAACTAGATATTTTCCAACATTATCTTCTAGGCATCACACCACTCTGTGTTTTACATTGAGCAATACCATCAATCTTAACTTAATTTTTGTGACAGTTATAAGATTGTATTTAGATACATAGTTCTAAATGTAGGTTCCAAGTTTTGCTATAACATTATTTGTTGAGAAGTTGATTTTCCCCCACTGAGTAATTTTTGGTTTTTTGTCAAAAAAAAAAAAACAACAATTTTTTTGTGTAAGTCTAATTCTAGGACTTTAATATTCTTTTATTGATGTATTGATTTACTATTTTGAAATCTATCTTGATTATTGTGAGTTTATATTACAGTAAGTATTGAAGTTGGTTATTGTTTGGTTTTTGAATTTGTTCTTTCCCTCAACAATTGTATTGGCTATTTTGGGTCCACTGCTTTTTCATCCTTCGAGTTACTGCCACGTTTATGTCCTCTTGTGTGTCTGAAGATTTCATGTGGGAGGATAAGTTATTCTCTTTTGGTTAGGCTCTGCTAGCCAAGGACAAACCACAGTCCTGGGACCATCATAAAAAGCTCTGGACCTGCCATAGTCCAAGTCTCCAGACTCCAACAGGTCTCTATATCTTCACATCTCAGACCCTTCAGCCATGAGATTCCATCTGCTTCTCCATATTCTCCTCTTCCTTTTGGCCTTCTTACCCCCAGGTAAGTTGGTGACTAATTATAGATGGTGGGGGTCTTCAGTTTAAAAGTCTCTCTGGAAAGTGAGAAATTAATTAACTTCACAAGTTCAGAAACCTAATATCAACAGAGATTATGTCAGAGTAAAATAGACATCCATTGTCATTAACCCAAATGCCAAATGTGGTCAGATTGTACTATATCCTGTTGTTGTGTCTCTGGGTTTCTTGTGAGGCATGGGAATTTCTTTGTAGATACTTAGATCTTCCAGAACACTGGCAGGATGGAATCTCTTCAGGAAGAGGTAATGTTGAATGAGGGTTATAATACCTGGAAATTTAATGGGAAGAGATAAACCTATGAAGTGATTATTATTCCAAAACAAGTGAAAAGTCAGAGTCCCTGTCAGCCAACAGGAAGTTAGCGAGGGAAGTTATTGGCTTTGTGAAATGGGCCAAAATGTAAACCAACAAAAGCCAAAGGAACACACTTTGTAAAAGTTGTTATACATGAAAAATGCTTTGCAAAATTGAGCTGCAGAATGAGAAGAGGGCAACAACTACAAATATTAAGAAAGGCATCAAATTGTAGTGACTTTGTGCATAATAGGCTTATACTTGGTAATTGAAAACATAAGGATGGATGTAAAGAATGACAAATGATTACTGAAATTTAATAGGCTGAGGGTGCATTATGTGTCGTTAGAAAAGATATCATAATAAATTGAAAGACTAAATCAGACTAATAAATACAAGGAACAAAGGAAACAAAAGATCAACAAAACAAAGCAGAACAAAACAAAAAAGGTGTCTATTGAAAGAATAGCATACTTCATAGTAATCTGATAATAATGATCAAGAAAAGATTAAACATACCTAAAATAGCTATTTCACAGATGACTGGGATGATATCACAGTAAACATTCCCACGACTCAAAGAAAAACTCTAAGATTTATTATAAATGTGTGTGATATATTCCATCTCCTTTTGTGTATTTAGCAATCTAAATACGAAATACAGAGTGTTCTTCTAGAACACTGGCAGGAACATCTGTGATGACGTCACTTTCTCAGAAGAGTGTAAAATCAGTGATTTTACATTAATCGTATTCCTACTGGATCATCACCATCAAGATGCAAATATTTTAATGTTTATCTGATCTTAAAAAATAAAAAACTATGTCTTTGCTTCTCCTGTTCCATTTTGTGGAAAATGCTTTAAAATCATGACCTGTGGTCTTGCCCTTGCAAACATTCTTCCCAACCCTCCCACTCTGTAGCTGAAATTCCTTTTGTCTTTACCCACTCATTAAAAAAAAAAAAAAAAGCTTTCTCTTCCTCCCTGCACAAGTCATTAATAATCACCAGGCTGTTGGCCCAAGTAGCTACTCATCATTGTTTACTTTGCCTGTTAGCAGACTTTGCCAAAGCCAGCCCCTCCTCTCCTTATAATGTGCCACATTCCCCCCAAATACTACAGGATGGAAGTTTCACTTAATTTTCAGTCTACCTCATTGATGGCTCCTCCTCCGTTTCTGCCACTGCTTCCTCATTTCTGGTGATTCCTCCTGGAGGGGAGCACCAGGGCTCCGTTCCCGATCCTTTTCTCTAGTCTGCACCCCCTCAATTGTTAAGGGACTTAGCGAGTCTCATTCCCTTTAAAGTCTCCCTTGGACTTTTCTTTGGAACCCCAGTTTTGGAACAAATGATCCAATGGCACGTCTGATATCTCTATTTAGATGTTTGATTTCAAAATTAACATGTCTAAAATAGAACTCATGATTTTTTTTCTCATATTCCTTTATGAGTAGTTTCTGCCACCAGACTGCTTGTGGCCGCCATGCCAGATGGACTTCTTGAACCTCCACCAGTCATCAGGGATTCTCCACTGCTGTACTTCAAAGGGGCTCTGTTGGAGTTCCCGTCTCTCACTCCATTTGGGGGTATTAGGTGCCTCATACCCACAGTGCGTCTTGTCTTCTGCCTTGTCATCAAACCTTATCAGTCTGTCTACATGTGTATTTGTAACTAAAGAGAGAGAGGAGATTCCCCTCAGCCCCTGTGATCCCTTTACAGGGATGGAGGTTGTGATCTGAGACTCCAAGGAAGGTCTTTTTTTTTTTTTTTTTTTTTTTTTTTTTTTTTTTTTGGTTTTTCGAGACAGGGTTTCCCTGTGTAGCTTTGGAGCTTATCCTGGCACTCCCTCTGGAGACCGGGCTGGCCTCGAACTCACAGAGCTCTGCCTGCCTCTGCCTCCGGAGTGTTGGGATTAAAGGCGTGAGCCACCAACACCCGGCTTCCAAGGAAGGTCTTAATAGTCTCCAAAGAAGACCTCAAATTGGAATATCCCCTGCAAGCCCACCATATGAAGGGAGTTGCCCTATGAATCTTAATAAATACTCTTTAGAGCAGTGGTTCTCAGCCTTTACTGCTCTGACTCTTTAATACAGTTCCTCATGTGGTGACTCCCAGTCATAAAATTAGTTTTGTAGTAGAGCAGTGGTGGCCTTTAATCCCAGCACTCAGGAGGCAGTGACGGGTGGATCTCTGTGAGTTCAACCCCAGCCTGGTCTATAGAGTGAGTTCCAGGACCACCAAAGCTCACAGAGAAACCCTGTCTTTAAAAAACAAAACTACACACACACACACACAGAGAGAGACATACAAACACACACACACACACACACACACACACACACACACACGTATGTGTATTTGCTACTTCATAACTGTAATTTTGATACTGTTATTAATCATAATGTAAATATCTGTGTTTTCTGATGGCCTTAGGCAACCCCTATGAAATGGGCGTTTGACTCCCAAAGGGGTCAGGACCCATGGATTGAGAACCACTTCTCTAGAAGGTCATAAAAAAGAGGGAGTCAGATTGTGACTGAGACCCTGGAGATGCTAAAAAATAAAAACAAATCAACAACAATAAAAAAGCATCGCCTTCTACCTACAGATGTTGGTTTGAAATTTAGAACTCTCTCCTCATTATCTGCCAATGGCAGCTGCTTCTTTCTCCTGCCACTCAGCCACACATGCAAACATCTGCCGGTCTCTTCCCTTTAGCTCAGTTAGCCTTCACTAAGTCCCCAGCTCCGCAGTGAGCTCTAAACCCCAGGGTCTATTTTACAAGCACTATTCAACTTGTGCTCTTTCTTAAGAAAAGAACATTTGCTTTTGTAACTCTTTATATTCCAGTCTGAGTAGCATTTATTTCTGCTCCTTCAAGATCTACAAATGGTGAAGAACACTTATTAATATAATCAATTTAGCACAGAATTTGAACTTGGCTCTGAAATCCATCTACATTGCATTGTTTCCTCCTGGAACAGCCTTTAGTGTTTTCTTTCTTGCAGATGTCTTGGTAAAACATTTCAATGTTGTTAAAAGATTTATTTATTTTAATTTTATATGTCTGAGTGTTTTGCCTGCATTTATGTCTAAACACCATGGGCATGCAAAGCCAGAAGAGGGCATTGAATCCTCTGGAACTGGAGTCACGGATGGTTATGAGCCACCATGTGGGTGCTGGGAACCTATTCTAGGTCCTTGGAAAAAGCAGCCAGTGCTCTTAATGCTGATCCATCTTTCCATGTTTCTACTTAATTCTTCTCTTGGAAGGCAGGTTTTCTGATAACCCAATTCTACAACAATAGATAGACACTTTTATTGACATTTCTTTTACAAGCACACTTGTATTTACCTTCCTTTTTTCCCGTTTCAGTGATGCAAATTGTGTCTCAGAGGATTTGCTATCTTATATTTATTTTTTTCATGTTGCCAATTAACTGGCGTTTTGTATAGTATCTCCTAAAGTATCTTCTTGATTTCCTGGGTTGTGCTTCTACATGACTTACCATTGAAAATCCCTGTAAATGTTGACCCTCTTACTCTTTCCTTTTGTGATTTGCTATTGTTGAGTCAGTCTTTGGTTTCAGTGCTGCCTTCCGGGTAAATAATTTAAATATGTCTCTTTCTTCACGAATTCTCCTGTCACCATTGTAGAATTTGTCATTAACATTTTGTTTGCTTTCTCAGCTGTAGTTTCCAATCTTCACACTTGCTTGTTCTTTCTCACATCTATAGTATTTTCCTGTTTTTTTTATACCACCCCTGACATACTAAACACACAGAAAACTGGTAGTATATGACTAAGATACATTAACTACTGAAGTAGATACTGCAGGACTAAATAGGGAGAGAAAAAGCAACTCCTGATTCCTTCTAAGTGTAACAAAACATGAAGAAATTGAAAGACCCGAATTTTAGCTTGGAGGAGTAATTCCATCAAGATGGAGAATAGGAGATAGTGACTTCCATCCCATTCACACACACAAGAGACATGTAACAATTGCTTAACCAAAGTATCCTGTGGAGGCTCAAGGGCCGTCCCAGAGCACAGTAGAGCAACAGGAAAAGAAAACCTGATTATTCACACATAAAGGGTTTCTGTGAGATTGGCATCCAAAGACCCCAAGAGATGGCTATGAGCAAAAAGGAAAGGCAGACGTTATCACTATCCGCCACACTCATGGTCCTCAAGCAGCCTGCTCTGGCATGTTTTGCCATTGAGGTGACCAATAACCAATCCTCCCAGGGATATGGAAACAGAGATGATGCAAACCTTAGCCACCCCTACAAAGAAGTAAGTACCATTGTTTTACTCTGAAACTGGAGCTACCAACTCTCCTAACTAGAATCATGTCTTTGATTATCAAAGTTGCAAATATTCCAACAGGGCCCAACACCAGAACCTCGCTCTCTTTCCTACTACCTCTACTCACTCCTCAAATACTAGGCCATCCGTATTTTGAACCACTTTCACAAGCAGAATTCATGAACTAACAGCTCTCTGTCAATGCCTATGCACCAGTTACCAAATCAGTTGCCACAGTGAATTTCACTCATGCACCAGATCATAGAGCCACTGAGGCCATGTACACCAGTGGTCAAAGTCTGCATGAAACGGAAAATCAACAGCCACTGCTCTAAGGAGTTGATTTACAGGCTGAGTCTGGAGCCAAATTCTCTCAGTGTATATCAGTGCTGCAGACACCCACTCCACCACAGAGACAGCCTCACCCGGTGGAAACCATGATTCCACAATTTGAACTGGTAATGTTTGACCTCATGCTGTATGGCATTATATGTGTATATCAATTTTTAAAAGTAGGAAACTTAGCTCAGCATAGACTAGCAAGACAACTGACTACAATGTTTCCCCATGAAACCTTGATTCTGCCCTATCAAAAGGGAAAGAGAGAAAGAAGATAAGAATTAAAAACAGCCAACATTAAGACAACTGCCATAAGCATCAGGAAGGGAGACGAAGTAAGGCAACTACAACATCAGCGATGTGAATCTTCACCCTTGCCGTGGTCCATAAGCCTAAGCACAAGCCGGATCCTATGTTTAATCTCACCCGGCTTTTTCTGACATGTTCCATCCACCCAAGTTTTAGTCTGGGGACTCAGTCTTGCTGTCCTGTGTGCTCTTTGTACTTTCACTTGGATAATTGCTTATTGTTTTCCTGACCTCAGGAAGTGGTCTCTGTCCATCTTACTGGTTCTATCCCCCAGGCTCTGTCTGCTTCATTACTGTATTATTTTGTCTGAAACCTTTGCCACTTTTTGAATCACCTCATTACTCCACTCCATGGTTTGTTGGTTTGGTTTTGGTTTTGGTTTTGGTTTTGGCATGGTTAGATTTCTTGATCAATTGTAACCTCTGTGTAAACAAAAGAAGCTTTGGGCCATTTGTACTGTTCTAGCATTATAAAGAAAAGTGTTTGATGAGTGCATAGCAAGAATTTGTTGACATTCTGCGTCTAGGAGTAAAGCAATGAAGACATGAGTATATTTAGGGAATCTATTTGTCTCTCTTGTTACAGTCAGGTATTTAATGAATTAACTTCTGAAGCATTATCTATACTTTTCATATATTTATATATTTAAGAAAACCAAGGAGCGAGCTATGAATAAGTGAGCTGTTGGGAGAAGGGGAAAGAGGGTGGATGTGGCCAGTGTGGAGGAGGAGCCGCTAAGGGGACCTTTTCCTCACACAGAGAGGTACTCGGCCCACCATTGTTATGTCCTCATGTGCAATGACGCTAATGCTTTGACATCCATACACTGGGATAACTGCTGCCTGGTCTCTTCCCTGCAGTTAGAAGTGGCTTAGGTGCTGCCGAGACTCACTGTATGAATCTGGAGGGCACCTGCAGAAGAGACATTTGCAAAGTAATAGAAGATGAAATCGGTGCTTGCCGAAGACGATGGAAATGCTGCAGGTTCTGGTGGATTCTCGTGCCGATCCCAACACCAGTTATCTTTTCAGACTATCAAGAACCCATCAAGACCAAGGTAAAATAAAAGCATGGAAAAAGCACGAGGAGAGCTTTGTGCCTCTGGAGCAACAGAATCACCACACTGAACACTTGCAGCTCTTTAACCAGATTCTATTCAGTTTGCCAATAAAACTAAATATTGATTTCAAATATGCTCAGATATCACCTATTTATGACATTTCCAAATTTAAGCAAAATATTTAAATGTGAGAAACTCCCTTTGCACTGGAGAAAGGGCTACTCTGTGCTCAGTTTCCCAGGATCCACATGTTGGCTCATAACCATCTCTAACTCCAGTTTCAGGAGATCCAGTACTCTCTTCTGACTTCATAGGTCCCAGACACACACTCGTTATACATACATACATGCAGGCTAGACACAAATAACCATAAAATAAAAATAAGAATAATTTTTTAAAATCCTGTTTCCTGGCTGGGCAGTGGTGGCACACATCTTTAATCCCAGCAATCAGAAGGCAGAGGCAGGTGGATCTCTGTGAATCTGAGGCCAACTTGGGCTACAAAGTGAGTTTCAGGACACCAGGAATAACACAGAGAAACCCTGTCTCATAAAACCAATACATTTTTCAATTAAAAATATTTTTTCCAACTGTAATAGAAACTCAACAGATTAACAACTAGCAACAATGAAGATAAAATTATAAAACAGAGTTAAATCCACACAAACAGAACAGGTAAATTAAAAGACAGGATGCAGGGTTTCCAGACCATATCAGAGTGAAGAGAAAGATCACTGGGGAGAGGGGAGGGGACTGGAGTGAGGTTAGGAGAAAATGATTTGGTATATGCCCCGGCCAGCGGGGTTCTGGTAATTCGTGGGTCCTGGAAGGGGACTAAGCTTGAAAATAAATGGGCGAGAAAATGTTTTTTGTCAAGATCTGTTTATTGAAGTTAAGCAAGGAGTTTTTAAAGAGAAGGGAAGGAGTAAAGAAAGAGGAAGTAAGGGAGGGGAGGAATGGGAGTTAAATGTCCTCAGGCGTGGACAGGTGTCCCGGAACTTTCCTAAGGGGTGGGGTGTTGACTAAATTGCGGGTTTAGCATGGAGGTCGCCAAGCCTCTTGTAAAGGAAACTTTTATATCTGACCAGGGCTGGCTCCTGACAGGTATAAATACATGAAGACTTCAAGTGTATGAGAATTGATTAGAAATACATGAAAGCAAAGAATAAAACAGAGAGGATGGAGGGAGGAGTTGGTTGGAAGGAGAGAGAAAGAGGAAGAGAGAGAGAGGCTGAAAGCTAATAGAAGAGGCTAAAAACTTCCAGCTTCTTTAATCAATAGAAATAATTTTAAATTAATCAATAGAAAAATCAAATTTTTATTGCTTAATTAAAATTTTTAAATTAACTTTTTTTCTTTTTAAATACTTCAAAAGTAAAAGCCCCAACTAACAGTTTGGTGTTTTGCTCCTATGAACAAACGGCACAATTGTTTAGATTATGTCTGCCTTACACTTACCCAGACAAACCATTTCCCACACAAGAACTAACCATCTTGCTGTAAATTCTGGTAAAGTGCTATAGGCACAGGCTGTCAGTACCCCTTCCTGATGCAGCATCTCTCTGACTATACCTCCTCTTGCTCCATCCACCACAAGGTCTTGGTTACCTTAGCTGAATGGCACAGAACCTCAGCTCTAGCTTGGGCTCAGTGCAGGAGGGAATTTGTAAAGGATTGTACATGTCACGTCATGGAGAGTCAGCTAGAGTTAAGATACCAGGTGCGAATCTGGGTGCTAGGAACCAAACGTGGGACCTCTGCAAGAGCAACCAGTTTCTCCAGCCTTCTGCTATTATTTATTTCTATGTGTGTGGGTTATTGCCTGTGGGCATGTCTGTGCATCAAGTGTGCCCAGTGCCTGCAGATGCCAAAAGAGGGAGTTGATCCCCTGGAACTGGAGTTATAGAAGATACCTTAACTCGTGGTGTGGGTGCTGAAAATCAGACCTGGGTTCTTTGGAAGAGTAGCCAGTACTCTTCTTCTTTTTAAAAATTTATTCTATGTATTTTTCACATCGAGTATCTTGATCACATTCATTACCTGTCCCTTTGTATCCACCCTTCACCCCTGCACCCTCCCCCTCCCGAATAAAACAAAATTCAAGAGAAAACAAGGAAGAAAATAAAATAAGAAAAAAAATTAAACGGGGGAAGGAGCTAAAAATCTCGCCATGGAAGCTGCAGTGCGACCCAACAAGTCATGCTGTATACTCCTATGACCACCATACACCTTTCTACTTGCAAGTGTTCATTGCAAAGTCATTGGTCTGGTTCAAGGTCCCTGGTCTTCACTGCACGTTCGATGCTGAGCCCCCACTAGGACTCCTCCTGGACGTCCTGCTAGTGTCCTGTGTTGTGGAGATCCTACGGCTTTGGGTCTGTGGGTCAGGCCCCTTCACAAGCTTCAACAGATAATAGATGGGGTGCCTGTTGGGGCAGACCAAGTCATAACCCTGAGTCTTGGCCTGAGCAGCTGTAGGGTTGGTCTGCCAGGTGGGAAATGGGGACAGCTATCCCATGGTCACTATTTCAGGGCTGGCTCACCAACACCTATGCTAACAGTGCTGACTCGATTAACCTGGGAGCCATTTCTCTAGCTACCCTCTCATGGCTGGCATCCTCAGACATCCCTTCCCCTTTCCTCTCCTACACCCACGTTTTGCCCATTTCCCCTTCATAACATCGTAGCGTCTGTGCCCTGCTCTTCCAGGACGGACATTCTTTAAAGTAAAACTTGAATCCTTTTGCCTTTCTTCACATTGTTTATACAGGGCAAACTTTTCACTCATTGCAATTTATGGCTGAGAAATATACCTATCTAAGGAAAATTATGGAAAACACCTATGAAGTCAATGCTACTACAATATTCAGTAAAAACTTGGATAATATTCAATATCAATTTGTATTCATGACAAAATGGAAGACTGACAGAGTCAAGTAATGGAATTTATTTGGTCAAAAGGCTTGCATTTCAAGTACAATGAATCAAAAAAATCCTTACAATGTGTTCTATACAGCAAGCCCAAGAGAAACTTTTTATAGGAAATATTTATCAAATCTGCGTTTGACAAACAGTCCTGGCTGAGTGGAAATCCTGAATCAAGCAAGAGCATGTGGGAGTTAAGTCTACCCTGCTCAATGATCTCCAGCAGAGGGCACTGCAGACTTCTCCCAAGAACCCGGGAGCTTTCTAGGGTTTAACTTTTTTCAGGACTCTGAACAGTTTCTTCCACATTCAAATTGTCATTCTCGGGCCTCGCGGGCGGGGGCGGGGGGGGGAGGTCAAGCAAGGACACAGCAGACGAATGGAGACCACTTGAAGGGTGAGACACTCTGTCCTGCCTGGTGGGCGAATCCGTTTCTTGCTCCAAGGGTAGAGCGCTAATAAACAGAATGCCCGCCCGTCCTTGTTGTTCTTGGTCTGTCTCCCTGACTACAGAGCTGTGCAGTGTTTATTACCCCCACCTCAACAGACAGGAGCCTGGCGGAACTGCAACAAGGGTAATTCTTCTTGTCAGGACAGTTCATCCCCCCAGTGCTCGCTGTATCTGGACTGGTGAATCTGCGTTTGGCTGGCAGAGTGGCTTCAACTGTCCTGAGATTCAGCACAGGTTTCGGGCTGCTGTGGTCCTGAAGGACTTTCCAGTGGTGTAAGGAGATTTCTTTGGTTGCTGTATCTCCCGTGTGTCCCTGTGGCTCTGCAGTTGCCATCTGAGATCTTCTGTTGAGCTTTCTCTGCTGGGCTTTCCCAGCCTGGTGCTTAGGGGCCAAGAGCCTCGCTCACCCCGCCTACAGGCGCAGTGACACTGTCTGTCCTTTTTGAGATCAGTTTGCTGGACATAGAAGAGCACATAGGAAGGCTTCCTCAGGACAGAAGTCACAGCATACACGGACGATGTTAGAATCATCCACCTTATACCACTGGCCATTGCCAGCTTTGATAACACGGAAATAATGTCCTCTGGGACCAGTCCCGCCGACATGGACCATGGCAGCATACAGGCTTACACAAATGGTCTTCTATTAGATTCTGACATATATGGCTGCAGTTCAAGGAACTCAAGGGGCAGAAACTGTGGCGGGTCTAGGGTCCAGGTCTTAAATACCCTGGGGTAGGGTTGGAAGGGGGGCTGAGGCAGAGCCTTCACCTACACAGTATGTGTTCTACAGAATCAAACATTCAGCCGAGATTTAATTCTTCACATAAAAATAAACAAGGGTATCCCTTTCATCACCATATAAATTTGCTTTTGTCAGTAATAAATGGTAAAATATATATCTACCTACATAAAGAATTGCTTTGAAATAAATTTCTTTTGTAAAACGCCCTGGTTGGTTTTTGTCAGTTTGATATAATCTAGAATCACCTTGGAAGAGGAGTATCAATTGAGTGATTGGTGCCATCGCATTTCCTGTGGGGGTGTTTTATTAAATAATGGTTGACATGGGAGGGCCCAGCCCACTGGGGGCAGCGTAGTAGTGCACTGGGAAGATGACCCCCCCCCCAGTAGTATCTAAGTGGTGAGCAAGTCAAGGATAGCAAGCTAGTGAGCAGCACTCCCTCCATGGCTGTTGCTTCCGTTTCTGCCTCTAGGTTCCTCTTCACAACGGTCTGTAGCCTGTGAGGGGAGATAGGAACTCTTTCCTCCCTGGCCAAGTTGCTTTTTGCCATGATCTTTATCACAACCACAGAAAGTTACACTAAGACAGAAATTGGCACCAGAGAGGAAATTAATGCAGAGGCAGACCTGACCGTGTTGTCATGGGAGGACTGTGAAGGATTTTTAGAACTCGGCTTGAAAAGCTGTTGCATGTTCAGAGCTTAATGAGCTCATGTGGGAACTCGGAAGATAAAGCTGGGAGCAGTGAGGACAATAGAGGCCTGGCCGTGAAGTTCCAGAGGGAAATTTGAGAGTCCCTTAAAGAGCCTATTGGGGCCTCTCATGTGATATTTTGAATTGAGGATCTGTGTTCTGAGGCTGAAGAGTCAGCTGTGATTAAGATGAG